CCCGAATAATAATGCACGCGAAAGAGGTACTTAATTTTTCTTAGAATGATACCAGAATAATGTTTTACAAAGAGAGCGCCAAAATATTTATAGTTCAATGAACTTGCACCTTTTGTAGCATGGCTTCCAAATTTGAGGGCCGGAAACAAACCGAAAAAAAAACCATGAAGGTAATTGCTAGGGCTGCTTCATTTGAACTTCTCACTTTTTGTTCAAAAAGAACTAAGTGTGGAGGTAAATGTCAACAGAGATCGAGACAGAGGATTTTAAGAGAATCTTAGCGAATCGTTAGTGAAAGTCACACTTAAAGAGAGAGATAAGTGTGGAGGTAAATGTCAACAGAGATCGAGACAGAGAGGATTTTAAGAGAATCTTAGCGAATCGTTAGTGAAAGTCACACTTAAAGAGAGAGATAAGTGTGGAGGTAAATGTCAACAGAGATCGAGACAGAGAGGATTTTAAGAGAATCTTGGCGAATCGTTAGCGAAAGTCACACTTAAAGAGAGAGATAAACTGAAAATTTTTCTTCAATTATCTTCCCTGGGAGTTGCTAAGGCTTCATAAAAAAGCAAACGGCGAGTGAGGATGGTACTTTCATCAAATAAGATTAGAAGGTTCGCTCAATAACAAACTTAAAATCGGCAGGTGCTCGGCTTAATTATGTTCGTCCTGTTTCATGTTAATTTGGATAAAACTGGTACTGTAACAGGTTATTCTTGTAAAACAGCTTTCGACAACGAATTGAATGACAGGAACACGTCGTTATCAGACTCAAGTGTTGCGGTTGTGCGCTTCAGTTTTTAAGTGAATCACAATACGTCATGTAAACCTCTGTGTTTAAAGAACTGCGACTCATGTCTGAGTCAACTTTTGAGCTATTTTTCTGAAAGACACTTTAATCCAGCAGCATGGTTCATCAAGAAGCCTGTTGATAACCGTTAGAAGTTGCTGTGAGTATGAAAGATGGGTAGCGTAGTTTATAGATTCTTTGCTGGACGCGAAAAATCAAACAAGAGGTTTGTAGATGAGTGAAATGCATCTTATCGAGATTACCAAGGCAGTTCATAAACCAAGTACCAAGATTACTTCTGAAGAGATACACATAAACAGACAAAGAAGGGATGAAATGACTGAAAAAAAGTCTAAAAGTTTTATGGTCCTTCTGACAGAACAATAATTTGACGAAATGACTGACACTCTGACTGACTGAGACGTCTGGTTAGCCGAGAAGCTAGAGCTGACTATATTGCACTACACTAACACGGCACTGTTGATTATTTGACTGACTTTTCTTGACTGACAGACTGTATAACTGATTGATCTGCTTGTCTCCCTTCTTATGTGCCTGACTGACTTAACGACTGAGTGGCTGACTGACCAACTGATTGACTAACTGACTGACCGACTCACTCACTCACCCACTCACCCACTCACCCACTCACCCACTCACCCACTCACCCACTCACTCACTCACTCACTCACTAGCTGACTGGCAGACTGACTGACTGACTGACTCACTCACTCACTAGCTGACTGGCTGACTCACTCTCTCACTCACTCACTCACTAGTTAGCTGACTGATTGACTAACTAGAAAAACTGACAAACTGACTGACTGACTCACTAGCTGACTGACTGACCGACTGACTGACTGACTGACTGACTGACTGAATGACTGACTCACTCACTAGCTGACTGGCTGACTGACTGATTGACTGAATCAGTGACTGACTCACTGACTGACTGAATCAGGGACTGACTCACTCACTTGCTGACTGACTGACTGACTGACTGACTGACTGATCGACTGAATCAGAGACTGACTGACTCACTCACTAGCTGACTGACTGACTGATTGACTGAATGACTGACCCACTCATTAGCTGATTGGCTAACTTACTCGCTCGCTCACTCACTCACCCACCAGCAACACAGCGGTCAAATGATTGCACGTGCGCACTCAGATGAGTAAATTTACTATCGAAAACATCTAAGAGAGACGTAGTTTTTCGCAGTTTTTGAGGAAAGTTTGAAGTTTCTAAGGCCGAGACTTACACACATTGTTGTTCTAGGCTAAACCTACCTTGTGCTAGCTTACACTCGTACTTTTTTTCACACTTTGCACGGCGGTAAGATGAAGCCGTCCGCAAGCGTTGCCGCCTCGGCAGTAGTCATTCTTTATTGTGTTCATGGCGGAGTTGCCGATAAACACCGAGGAAAATGAGTTGAAAAGGAAGATCCAGAGCCACAAAAGATATTTGTGGCGATAACAGGTCTATGATTATGGCGGACAGTAGATTGTGCACCAAGGTTAGAAGAAAGTTTTTGTCATTTGCCTTCATTTGCGAAACGAAGCCTCCGCGTTAAAAACAGTTGGGATATCTCACAATAAAGTAAGATCAATATTTATTATTTCTCCAAATTCCTTCTTTCATTTGTCTCACGCATTGGAATTGTTCAGAATTTAACTTTTTCCTCCTCACTTTACGCTAGACACGCGTTCGTAAGTCCCTCTTATTGTTATTCAACTCTTGTGTATGCGCAGTGTTTGACCGCTGTGTTCTCACCAGCTGACTGGCTGACTGACTGACTGACTGAACGACTGACTGACAAACTGAATAGCTGACTGACTGAATGACTAAGTGACAGACTGACTGACTGAATGACTGACTGATTGACTGACTGAATAACTGACTGAATGACTAACTGATTGAGTGGCTGACTGAGTGACTGAATGACTGAGTGGCTGACTGACTGAGTGACTGAATGACTGACTTAATGACTGATTGATTGACTGACCGACTGACTGACTGAATGACTGACTTAATTACTGATTGATTGACTGACCAACTGACTGACTGACTGACTGACTAATTAACTGAGTGGCTGACTGACTGAATAACTGGCTGAATGACTGACTCACTCACTCACGCACTCCGCGACTCACTAGCTGATTGACTGACTGGCCGAATGACTAAATGAATGACTGACGTACTAACTGGCTTACTGACTTACTCACCGACTCACTCACTGACAGACTGAATGACTTACTGACTGACCAGCTCACTTACTCACTGCTTTACCTGGACCATAGTGAGTGATCCGTGAAAGATAGATATATGAAAACGAAGAAGTCTAATTCGACTATTCGTGTTCAGTCCTGTACAAGGAACAAACCCTATTCCATTTTTGTTCAACTTTCATTTTTTCCATTATACCTTAAATCAAATCATGAAAAAAGAAAACTCAAGAACAAAGACGCAAGGTGGAAACGTAAAACAAATTAATAGAACCGTCTTTCGAAAATTGATGAAGAACACTCATAGTTGCCGGAAGAAACATGTCATGTGTTAACATGATTGAAATCTCTTACCCCGGCGCTGGGGAAATAGCGAAAGCAAGTTTTTGTATGAAGTTAGTGTTTTTCACACATTGGTTAGCTCTTTATCGTGCATGATCGTTCTATTCAGGATATAAGTTAAGGCACCTTTATAATCTACCTCCCAAGGACTTGACTGAAAGTTCTCTCATGGTATTCTAAAGTTCAGAAGATTAAGTTTGATTATTTTGAAGAGCTTCATTATTCGAAAGGAGTTAATGGTTGCCAAGTTGCGGGATAAAGAACTTGTAAAGGAGACCTGAATATCAAAATAATTCAGTATTAAATTAACCGAGCGCGAGATTTTTCCACCATCACACATAGAGATGGAGAGCGAATTAAATCTGATTCTTTTCGTCGTTCACAACTGAACAAGATAGCTTAGTGTTATCAACTTAGTTGATCATGATTATGTAAATAGGCCACTGTAAAGAGTTTCTATAGCTGACGTTTCGAGTGTTAGCCCTCCGCAGTTTCTTCTGAAACTTACCCAAAAAACGGCAGGCTCGTGTTTAAATTGAATAATGATACAAATCGTTCAATATTAGGCCACTCACTTTACTCACTCGGTATCATGGAAGAGAAAATGAATAGTGTTGGCAATCAGATTTAAGCATTGGTAGTAGAACACTATTGTATTTATAACGTTTTTTTTTTCATGTCGTGGTTCCATTTCAGGCTTTTTTTGGGCTGAGAAGAGATTGACTTTATCGGGGCCTTTAGTCAATAGGGTTGCACTTGCTGAAACTTTGTCTTGATGCGTTTTCAACACTATGTTAACCCTTTGTTAAAGGATTAAACTATTTTAACAGTAGTCGTACAATTCCAGAATAGTAAAAACAAAAAACAAAACGAAGAGCAGGTGTTTCTTGATAATTGAGGCATTTTAGAAAGATATATAAATAACTTTGTAGTTCAGTATAACTTCAAATTTGCCCCGCAAAATTATGAAGGACAGAACTCAGAATTAAATCCCTTTTTCATGAATCAACGCAATGTTATAATTGAGTAAATTGCTATTGCACACAGCGTCACGAAATAAATCTTTTCTCGTGAACTTTGCACCACAGCACAATACAAAGCGCATTAAAAGGCGGATGGGAGAAAAAGGATGTGTGAACGTCTTAGTCTTTTGCCACGTGGAGTCGACTTCTCCTTTTCGACGTAACGTGTCTAATGACATACCGTACAAAGCTTTTTTTTCCTCTTCCTCCGTTGGGAAAGTTATTCTCCCTAATAGCGTGGCTCCATAACCTTTGAACTAGCTGCTTCCTTTCAGCCGTATAATCACTTCGGTAATTTGAATTTTTTTCTTTTTTTTTTTTTCAATTTTAGGCCTATAAAAAACAAATTTTATTTTTTCAGTTGAAAAGCTTTTAACATGGGATGGTGTGTCGACACGATTTTTGAAGGAAGGGAAGATATTCATAATCATTTTTATAACTTTTTGCCTCAGAAACGTGATTTTGAAGAGCTTTTTCATCCGGGTACTGTACCAAAAACAAAAGGATTTACTCTTTCGTTTGCTGAAGCCCTGCAGTCCGTTAGGGGCGCCCCTTAGTGAGGCAGGGAGCGAGCGGTTGTCGTGGCGAACTTGAATAGCGGTTGCGAAGTTGTCCTGTATGTTGTCAGCAACAACGAGGGAAAAGTCTTCTCCAAGGCGACAGTGTAGTCAAGGTTACAAGGTCCTTCCCAGAATTTCCTTCGCGTAATTATAAGACAACTGGTAGGATAGAGCTTCATGTAATGATCGATGTGTTTTGCCGATATTTTCTTGCTGTTTTGCCCATCGTTACCCGCCTTCGATTTTGTCAGTTTCGACGCGCGATTTTCGCGTGCTCTGTCATAGACTTCTTTGTCATGACGATGGGTAGAAATTCTACTTTTACTCTACTACATTTCGTACTTTATACCTTTAAGACAGTCTCTTGTTATTTGGAGGTAGTTTGTGTTGAATGTGGTGATAAATGTTGCGCCTTGCGACGGATATGCCCTGTGTATGCTCTTAATTGCGTAAGTGCTAAATATATGTAGCTGAAGCAAACCATTTGATCTTTACTGGTCATGTTGACATGTGAATCTATTCAAACACCGAACTCGTTTTTGTTCGATTTAATTCTTAGATCGCCCTATGGCGACTACTCAACCACAGCCAACAAATTACACCCCGAATTTCGACTCCGTCGAAGCGAAATCCCAAGCCACGTCAAGCAATGTGGTTTCGACGCCACAAGCTTTCACCCAGCAAGTTGCGAGTGGCGCGGCCGCCATTTCACACGACATTGTTGTGACCTCGCAAAATATTGTTCCTTCGCCTCAACACGCTTCTTTACCAGCGAATGCTGTAACTTTGACAGTCCAGCCAGCCCAGATTCAAACTCCGCAAACTGCATTAATCTCAGCAAATGTTATTACGAGCGATGGCTTCCAGACGAAAGAAGGTACTCTGCAAACTTTATGAATAGTGTTGCCAATTTCGAACTTCCGAACTAATTCACGATCAGTTCCGCATTTAATAGTACCATTTTTAAATTTTATCTATCTTGGAATGTAAAGAAAAAGTATACGGCGACACGTTTATAATTTTGCTTCAATTTCCTTTTATTTTTCGTTTCAACGTAGGTTTCCCGACCGCAGAGGAACAGTACGTTGAGGCCTTGTCGGCGGAACATGCCATTTACCCAAATGGAACAGCGTAAGTTTCTTCCGTAAAAAGATGTCGAAACAGACTGGAAATTTCCGTCATGTCTTTGAACCTTTTAGTTTCTCTTTGAAGGTTGCGATCCGAATTTTGTGCTTTGTTTGGTCTTTTTGAACACGTTGTGGACACCTGGTTAAGGGATAAAGAATCAATGCAAAACACATGCGAATCACACAATTCTTGATAATCTATCTCAGTATTTTTGTTTTTCTTTGGGTGAAGTGATGAGGGATATCTTCATATGTACCTAGGAAAACCAGGATTTTCGCTTTTACGATATTTTCAAGTAGTGATTTGGAAACGTCGTTGGAAAGTTGACCAAACTGTGCAATATTAAGAATGTTATTCAAATTAATTGAATATTTATGTTAATTTATGGTAATTTCTTTCTATATATGGCATATTCATTATTAGCTTGGAAGAGAACAAAATAGCGATATTAATTGAGTAAATAAATCTTTTCTTTCTCCTGAAATATCACTTCAAGGCTATACTTATCCAAAATTCTCAATTTAACCCATAACCAAGATCATGCTATACTGGGAAAACTTTGCAGTGAACTTGTCAAGGGTGCTTGATTTAGTAATGATAAATATAGGTAGTGCTGTGACAATTTCCATAGAAACTTCTGGTTTCTCTTGGATATTGTTTTTCTCATCATGATGTTGGAACAATTCTTGCATTGATTAAAATCCTCTTTCCCATTGATGGAACTGTGTTTATTTGGCAAAGTGGGATTAGTATTCAATTCAGGAGCATTTTTACTTAGGAGACACACTCTTTTCCATGGCAACACATGCAGCCTTTGTGAATGAGTCAAAGAGAAAAAGAATCACTTTCTTGTTCTCATCACTCCACTAGACAGTTCCAAATAACAGAGGCTGTTTCTTGGGTTTTTTCATTTGATCGTTTATGGCCAGTTTAACCCACATGATGCCTGTATCGACATATTTGTGAGTTTCTTCAGATTTGTTAGCTCTTCATGCTTGAAGCCAACCAATTTTAAAATTGTTAATATTTTATCGGGATGTGATATTGTCTGAGAAAGCATGTTCCTTGGTTGAGCTCAGGTTTAGTTTTAGCCACAATTTGTTTTTTGTTCTTTCTAGATCTGAATGAATGTTTCCAAAAATTTGTGGTAAATCTATATGCTTGTGTTCTCCTGAATATTTGTTAGCAATTATGCTTCATAATGCTCGTATAGGAGAAAGGTACAATTGCTCTGAAATAACATTTTTCCTACCCAAGCTTTGATATTACTACATTTAAGCCAGTATCATGAAAATTGTCCCCCAGAATCAACAAAAAGTATTTTTTCTCAAAAGAATTGTGACCTTTTTTCAATTAGAACATGTTCATTCCCAGTATATTGTGTTCCATATTGAACATGTCTTCCACAGAAAATGCAATTATTGCAGTGACAATATTTTTATTTATTCATAGTCTGTGGACTATAAAATCTCTTAATGTTTTACATCGTGTCCATTTTGGGTTTAAATTCAGTTCTATTCAGAGGTAAATTCTGCTCTGTAGATAATCAATTCAGCATTCTAGATTTATTTGGTCAAATTTATGTGTGAGATCCTTCAATAAAGAATATAGGCTGCCTATCTTATATTTTTCAGTAATGTTGATATATTTATCAAGACAGTGGTGTCAAAATCTTTGTGGTCTCACATTTACTTGATTCTCAAAGCAGTTGTTAAAAGTGTTCAAGTTCAGATTACTGGAGTTGATCAAGGGTTTGTGTTCTGTAAAATCAAAAGCTGAGTTTTTCATGGTATCATCCATAAGACAGGAAGTAAGGAAATTGACAGCAATATTTTCCAGTGATAAATGTAGGTTTTCGTTATTTGTGGTTTGAAAATACTTAGTGAAACACAAATGAACTTGACCCAACTTTCCTGTGTCAGAGATCTCCATTGTCTCTCTTGGCTGACATTACAGAAGGTCATTATGCTAGCCATTTGTTGAACCATCATCCTGCTGTTAGGCATTGTTAGCTAGGAATAACCAAGCTGGTCATTCCAATCCTCAAGCTGTGTATTTGTACAGCCAGGGTTTCTTACTCTGTGCATCTCCATCAGGTCTGTGTGTTTGATGACACCTCTTCCTGGTAATTTCGAAAATCTCAATGCTTCTTATCACAGAAAAAACTTGATTGGTTATGTACTCATTCCTGGAAATAGTAAGAGTAAATTTTTACTAAAAATAATGAGGTGAATGTTTCTCCTCTTGATAGGAGAAACTCTGCTTGGCTTTCTTTTCACCCCTTCTTTCCTTCCTCTATTGCTTGTTTAAACACAAAAAAGGGACTTTGTAAACTAACCCAAATTTACAAAGCTATTTTGAGCTTAACAACAATATTAAACCTACTAATACTTCATAACATTTCACCCACTTTGCAGAGTAGTGTACATGGAAAACTGTTAAACAGGCTTGCAAATTAAATTGTTTTTCTCTTAATTTCTTCCAGGGGAAATGCTTATCACTACACTGATGCAACAATATTTGGACAGCAAGCTACATCATCGTATCTTGAAGCAAGCCAACAGCAAAACCTAATTTCAGCTGCTGCAACCACACAGGGCAGTGTCCCTAGTGGACAAACATACCTACAAGTCACTCAGGGAGGAACAACCATACAGACTCAAAGGCATCCAATAACACATACCACCAGGGCATCTCCTGCAACAGTAAGTTATTTACAGTTCAGTGATCAACTTGCAATTTCTCATAAAAACATCAGTATATTTTGTCACTGAGTTTAGTTATGGACTATAAGAAAATTAGTAGTTGAAATGATGTTTAATTCCTGTGGTATAAAACTGTAACATTTAGAACCAGTCAATTGAAAAATTAAATGCTGGTTCATGGAAAAGGTGTAATGAGTTGTTGGTGATAGTGTTACTTGTCTTTTATTGCATGATTTTTCTCTACAATTTGGCAAGAGATCAAAGTGGTCAAATCATGCTGCACATGAAAAAGAAAATTGTTATTTGAAATTATTTTTAATTCCTGTGGTATAAAACTGCAGCATTTAGAACAAGTCAATTGAAAAAATTAAATGCTGCTTCATGGAAAAGGTGTATTGAGTTGTTGGTGATAGTGTTACTTGTCTCTTATTGGGTGATTTTTCTCATATAATTTGGCAAGAGATCAAATTGGTAATATCATGCTGCACATGCAATTTTATTTTCACTTTCAAAAATGATCCTTGTAGCTGTTTTTTCATTACATCTTCAACATCATTCAAATCATATCATCTTGGTGTTCTTCTTGGTTAAAGGTGCTTATTTCCTTTTCTTGGCTGTTCACATCTTGATTGATTTTGATTTTATCTCTAATTTTCTCTGCATTTGCTCCTGGAGTCACCTTTTTGAAAGATAACAATTAGTATGAACAATTTGTTAAATACGTAGGGGTTTGGAAATTGACAAATTTTTGTTAAATTTTTTTAAAGGTTCAGTGGCTGGTTGAAAACTATGAAACAGCAGAAGGAGTGAGCCTGCCCCGCAGCACACTTTATAATCATTACCTTCAGCACTGCCAGTCAAATAAACTTGATGCAGTAAATGCTGCAAGCTTTGGAAAGCTCATTAGATCAGTGTTTATGGGACTGAGAACCAGACGACTTGGCACAAGGTTAGGATACACATGTGTAACAAACACAAAGTTTATGGCATGAAAACTTGTTTGTTTTCTTTTACTGAGCCTTTGCCTTTGTGGACATCATTACTGCTGTGGAATCTTTAATTTGTTAATTCTGAAGCTGACCTTTTGTAAAATATTTATTTCCTGTGTAAGCTTTTCCATTCTTTATAACAATCACCATTTTTATGTTACAGGGGTAACTCCAAGTATCATTATTATGGAATACGCATTAAGCCAAGTTCACCATTAAATGCTTTGTCAGATGATGCCCAAGTGGCTATGAGACAATCACCATCCACACAAAAGAGGTATGATATTTTGCAATTATGCCTTAATGGTCTCTGTTTGCGAAAAAACCCTTGTTTCTTTGTTAGATTCTTATGGTGTAATATCACATTTCCTAAATAAAAATTCACTTGTGAATTACATTAATCTTCATAGGAAAATAATATTTTTGATTAGTTTTTGAGACTTGCCTACACCATGTACTCACTATTTCCTGGCAAAATCACTTTTATTTCATACATACCGAGATTTACACTGTGAAGTACTCTCATATGTGTCTCTGATTGAAAGAACAACATAATTTCACAGTTGTTTGCTTCATACTTCACAGTATTAATTTCAATGTGTATCACATAAAAACATCATACTAAGAAAAGTGCTTGAGAATTTTTTTCACTCATTGTGATGCATCAAAAAACTTGTTGCATCGCAATGAGTGAATTAAAATTACTCAAGCACTTTCCATGGAATAATTTCTGTGTTTCTGTTAAATTGATTTGTTTCTCATGTGTAACAGACTGAAGCCTGCTGCCAGATTAGCCTCTGATGAGTCAGGTGATACAGCATCACACTCACCAGCAATGACAGCTGATCAACAAGCACAGCAAAGTCAGATGCAGCAGCACCAGCAGTATCTGGGTGATGTCACACAAGGGTTACCAGAGTTTGAAGAGCTTGACCTCAAGGGTGTTCCTCTACCAGGTATTTGTTGTGTGATTTTATCAAACTAATTGTTTCCTTGTGGCGTGCCTTTAAACTTTGTTATCACTTACTTCTGCACCAGTTTTGACCCTCTGTTCTGAATTTTAACACATCAAGTATCTTTATTATTCATTTCAGAGGGTATCACAGATCATGATCTTGACACCTTTGTTGACATGTATCGAGAGCATTGTGAGGTAAGTTTCTGGTTGACTATCAACTGTTTATAGTCCTTTCTAAACAATTGATGTGTCCACCTGAAAGAAACAATCTCAATAGACTCGTTACATGGTTTGTCCATATTGCTACATGTACACTCCACAAATTTGGCTTACTTGTATAATCTGTAAAAGGCAGAATTTGTTTTTCTTCATTTCAAAGACTTTTTAGGTGCCAGAGATTAAATCTGTTGAATTTTGGAATACTGTTTACTCTGAAAATTTCTGCAAGAATCAAAAAGGTGAAATTTAATCATTTTTGCTGTTTGGTTTGTAGGCTTTTCTTGACGTTGTAGTCAACCTGCAGTTTACTTTGGTTGAGTCTCTGTGGCAAACATTCTGGCGACATCCAGTTGGAAGTGATAAATCAGGGGCAGATGATGATGATAAAAAGGATATTGGGTAAGGTGCACTTAAGTTCTTTCACTCGGGGGAATGACCAAAGAGGATTTTCTCCTTACAATTTCAATGCATTTTCAAACAAATAGGTGATGAGATGATAACATTTAAATCAACCAAGGGATTGTTGATTTGACACCAAATTTCTTAGAGAAAGAAATTGAAGAAACGTATTGGAAACAGTGCAGAAAATTGATTTTGAGGTCTGTTAGGGAGAGGGTTTAGCTTATTGGCACATTGCGAATGCACTGAATCATAGGCATGTTCAAGCAAATGTCAATTCCTTTACGACAGTTAATTTTGATTATTTGTTTTTTTTGTTTATTTGTTTTTTAGTGATGATGGTGAATATGAAAGCAGGCTTTCCCAATCCAAATTGACACAACTGTGTGAATTTGATCCAGTGATTACATTTGTCAAAGCATGTGATCATCTTCTTTATCAGACATTGGTTGAAATCCTCATTCCTGATGTGTTGCGACCAATTCCAGGTACTTATAATCATGTAATCCTTACTGCAGGCAGCAGAGTGTTATTATAATATGGTACTTCTCTGGCTTGTGATTTACAAACTTGTATTGCGTTCTTCCAACATCCTGTGTGGGTTATTATGGCAGTAAATGGATAGAAAGTGTGGTCTATTACTCAAATTTAATCTTTGAGCAAATAAATAATGTAAGATTCATTGTTTTTCAGCTTCCTTGACACAGGCTGTACGTAATTTTGCCAAAGGCCTGGAGGGCTGGTTGGTCAACAGTCTAGATCAGATTCCAAAGAAGATGAGTGATGTAAAAGTAAGTTTGGTTACAGTTTTAGAAATGTCCAGTGTCTGAAAAAGGTACATGTGTGGCTTGGGTTGGGGTAAACATGATGCATTAACTACAGCATCTATTGTAGAAGAAATTTGTTTGAGTTTAAAATGAGATTTTAAACTCAGAAAATTTTTTATCAAAGGACTAACTGAACAAGGGGTGTTCATTTGACAGGTAACCACTTGTAGTGCCTTTGCACAAACTCTGCGTCGCTATACTTCATTGAATCATTTGGCCCAAGCAGCACGGGCTGTGCTTCAGAATTCTTCTCAGATCAGTCAGATGTTAGCTGACCTTAACAGAGTGGATTTTGCCAATGTGCAGGTAAGATCATAGTGATTTTGCTGTTTTGTGACAAGGCTAAATTATGCAGTTGTAAATGTGTCCAAGAAAACAAGTAAAGTTATACTTATGTGAGGAGGTATACAGGAGAAATGTAGTGATGAAACAAATATAGTTCAGATATCACTTCAGGTAGTAAAACTTTCAACTATTCCCTTGCAGGAGCAAGCCTCTTGGGTGTGTCAGTGTGATGACCATGTTGTGTATCGACTGGAGCAGGATTTTAAACTCACTCTCCAGCAACAGGTTTGTTACACTGAATTACCGGGTTCTTTCTGCAATAGGAAAGTATCATTAACTGAAAGTGTTGGTTTTTTATTTAGAACTCTCTTGAACAATGGGCCACCTGGTTGGAAGGCGTAGTAGATCAAGTGCTGAAACAGCATGAGGGAACAGATGAGTTTCCCAAGGCAGCAAGACAGTTTCTATTGAAGTGGTCATTCTATAGGTAAAGTTCTCAACTTCAGATTTTATTTTATCTTAAGCCAAGGTATGTGTGTGAAAATACAAGACTAATTTTGTCTTTAAATTGCTTCTCATAGTTCTATGATAATCCGTGACCTTACTCTGAGAAGTGCAGCCAGTTTTGGGTCATTCCATTTGATCAGGCTCCTTTATGATGAGTACATGTTCTACTTGGTGGAACACAAAGTTGCTAAAGCCATTGGCGCATCACCTATGGCAGTTATGGGAGAGGTAAATGATGAACAGTGCACGATATTTAAGCAGAACTAAAAAATTACTCTCGCATTGATTGGATCAATTTCAGTATCTGAGAAACTGCCTACCTATCCCTCCCCTAACCCAACAACAGTCGATTGATAACAAGTTAGGGTTAGTGTTGGGTTAGGGGAGGGGTAGGTGGACAGTTGCCAAGATACTGATATTGATCCCATTGTTCGTTATGTTAGTAAATGTTGACATAATGTTCATCAAGTTGATGGAAAATTAATATGATGCAAAATTGTAGGCTTGAAGTCTTTGCTATATTTTTTTTGTAGATATGCATCTGTGTCAACTCTCACTGCAATTGGTTTTGGTTTACAGATTCTTACATTTCTGTAGAGAAATCTTCAAACCTTTCTTTCAAAATGGACTCTTCCATTGCCAATCCTGTAATATAAGATGCAACCCTACCCTATTCACCATATAGATTCAAAGTTTGTCACCATTACAAAATTATCCTCCACAGCTCTGATATTTGTGTTTTTATTTTCAATAGTTTGTTGGCCTTGGATCAGCACTGTCTATGGGTCTTGATTCAGTGGAGAATAGCCTTCTATCAGAACAGCCTGACTGCCCCTTAAACTGTAAGTTCTTAGTGATCACTCAGAGTGTCTTGTCAAACCTTTCTTTCTCCTTGCAAATATTGGTCATTTACACTGTTTAAAACCCAATTGCACTGACTTCTACATACATTTTTACACGTACAGTAACTCTCATGATTCTTTATCTTCACCATGGAATGTAGTAGATTCTGTCTAGATTTCATGAAATTATACCAAAATTATGCATGGTGATAATTTGCAATATTTTCATTGATGGAGACTTGAAGAAGAAAGTTGGAATTAATCATTCTTTCACATCCAAAAGTTTATCTACCTAAGTGGCATGCACATATATCCAAGAATATTTTACGTTGGGTGTAACTGAAGATTATTAATTACAAAGTTATGCATAATTCTAATCATGTTTTTTCCTCCAGTAGATGGTACCCAGGCTACCGGTTCAAGTACTTCCTCCAGCACTACACGCCCATCAGTGACTGGGTCCTTGGAGCCAGAGGCCAAACGGCCACGCCCAAGTTAAATTGTCATTTAATATATCCCTGTAAAATATGAACAGAAATATTTTATTCCCAAAATCTTGATGGCATATTAATAAGCAAAAATAGTTCTTTGTAGTTAATCAGAAACAAATGTTTCAGATCAGTAGCCTGTAAGAGCTCTACATGTAAATTAATCTTGAAATATGGGAAAATGTACCATTGTAATTTATATTTCCTATAATACATGTTGTTGATTAGTCCTGTTAATTTAATTAAAATAGAAGTTGCCTGGCATATTTGTAGATAATACTTATGCCTTTGCAGTGATTATCACTTAGTATGATCCATGTCACAGTCTTTTTGTAACAGTTGACTTGGATTCTTCAGAAAAGAAGAGTTCTCTTTAACTAAACATGACAGGAGCTATCTTTAAATTGTCCAAGTTATTTAGGCATAGAAACTTAGCCTTCTTTTCTCCTTTTGATTTGATTTTTAAAATGCAGTTCTACTGCACATTTGAAAATTTATAACAGTGAAAGAAAAGAAACAGTTTAGACAGTTAAAATATTCTCAAGGAAAACAGCGATTAATTTCCTGAAAACAATGTTTATGCAAGGCATTGTTTACTAAATTTATCTTAGAACAAGTTTCAAGATAGTTCAACGATTCAAAATACTATTTTTGCCAGTCAAGTAGTGCATGCTGAATTGACACAAAGTTACTGCTACTATTCAGCATTTTTATTAACAGTCTTTCGCTGTTGAGAATTAAATTCTATTAAGAGTTAAAGTTAAAAAAAGAAAGCATTCATAAAAACATTAATGTTACATGTACATCATTAAATGGATATATTGGGATATCTTTTGGACAATACATTTGTTACAGTGTATGTTTTTGTCGGACTTTTGATTTAGTAAAGCCTAGTATGAGCCTTGAGAGGTGTTGGCCCAGTGGCTTGTGTGCTGGGCACAAGACTTAAAGGTGTGGGTTCAAACTCTGGCTGGGTCTTTCTGTTGAGTTTAAGAGCATTATCCTTAACTCTGACATCGCCTCTCTCTCCACCGCGAGTGAAAATGGGTAATGGTAACTGCTGGGGAAACTTTTGAATTTCCGCGAGAGGGAAGGTAGTAGCTGGTGCTCTGTACTCTACATCGTGTTGTGTTATTCGGTTAGGTACTTTACTCTGATATTGTTTCCCCCCCCCCCCTTTCCCCTCTACAAAGAGTATTAGCGGTACAGTTAGTGGTATCCCTATAATGGACCAGAGTAATTTCCAGGAGTGGGGGGATAGTTCCCTCAAGCATTTGAAACTGGTTTGGCTCAAGCCTGGTGGCCCTAATTACACGAAGTGTCACCTTGAATTTACTAGATTGGCTGCGAGATCGTGCATCTTCCCAGTAAATTAAAGTTTCCTCTCATCCTTTTTTCACTGAAATTCCAAGACGATAATAAGCGAGCATTATCGTCGAGGTCTCACGGCCCATTTATATTAGCAAAACATATTTGCTAAACCGGGTTTAACTGTATGAAAACCAGAAACAGAGGACTGGAAAACTGAATTTCTGAAGGATTTAAGTAATCAACGGTTCGTATTTTCAATGCGCTATATTTGGAGACGAAAAACATCGGTTTAAGCAGCTTCTGTGAAGACAGAAAAAACAAGTTAAACCGTGTTTAACAAAACACCTTTAAAACTTATTTAAGCTTTGGTGTGAATGGGGATCAAGAATGGCCCTGCGGTGTGTGAACGGAAAGCTTCGCGGAATTAGGCTTTCCTTGCGTTGCTAAGAGATCAGTTATCCTTCAGGTCTCTCCCCTGATGAGGAGATTAGAAGCATTCCAGAATGACTGAATGCTTTTTTTAAAAGTGTTTTATCGAGCCGTTCAAACGATTCTTTGTCCCTGAGGAGTCTTAGACATACTCATGCAGACATTGCCTTTTGGCTCGAAAGAATTGCATAATGCACAACGATGCCCTTGTGAGTGTTGAAAGCCAAACACAAACGCATTCATTCCATAAAAAAACCAAAAACTTTCGAAATATCTACTACTAAGGAAAGTGTTATGAATGAATTAGGACTGATCCTAGGTGAAATAACGACACGACGTTTCCACAACATATCGAGTCCCTGTGAATCTAAATCCGTTCAGAAACAGTTGACTGTGAACAAGTTACTCAGGTACTTAACAAAGGAAAGTCATCTTCGAACCTAAGTTAATATCTTTTGTGAGTATCAAAACTTTTCACGTCTTCCTGCGGCTCTGGAAATTTTCGTGCACAATGCTTAACAACACTCCTGTTCTCAAAGACGCTCTTGGGTTATACCACTAGAGAAACAAACGATCCGATCTGAAACTTACCCGTGTTTCTACATAACAAAACAATACAAGCTGTAGAGTGTTTTCATATAAGGGTAAATTTCATATCAAGTATGTCTTTTGGTTTCATATTGTTCAGGAGAATCATTGGCGAACCGAACATGCGACTCATTCTGGACTTAAAAATTTAAGGCCTGTTAGAGAATAAAAAAAAAAGAGCTGTTCTGGTCAAATACCTATAAAGTACACATTTTCTTGCTTAGTATAGGTCTGCGCACAAACGCTAACTGATGATTTTATATTTTCTCACCACCAGCAAACTTGATCGTGTACCGAGTATGTGAGGAGAAATAAGTAATTAGACGTTTAACTCTTCCTGGTTACCTTCAGTCCCAAGCCCAAGCCGGATAAAGAAGAGACGCAGCCTGGAAGCTACTGACCTCAAACTCGAAGGGTAAGTGTTGTTACCATACCTTTTAGTTAGTACGAGTGCTATGATTGGTCAATTTCGTGAGCTGTATTCAAAGTAAGGCTCGCTAAATTTAAAAATTCGTTTGAATTGAAATCTTTCCTCCTCTATTTGAGCCTAATTCATTTTCTTCCGCTCGGATTTATGACCTACGTGCTTCGCGAAAGGACCATAAATCCGAGCGGGAAAAACTCGGTCCGTAACTTAACATAAAAACCTCGCACTCGGTCAGAAAGAGGTATAAAATGTAACCTGAGATTTTAATCAGGCATTATCTATTATCATTATTATTTTTTTAAATCATTATTTCTATCATTATCATGATTGTTATCGTCATCATTGTTGTTATTGATATCATTATATTTTTATCATCGATACTGCCATTATCATCATCATTATTAAAACATTTATCTCATTTTTTTATCGGAAAGTGTCCCCTAACTTTCTCGTTTCCCTATTTTGCTCTCCCACAGAAACAGGAACATCTTGTCGTAGGTAAGCAAGAATCAATTCTTATTTACGTCTTCATCGATAAAAAGGTAACATCGTCATTGCTACTACGCCATGAGATGTACTGAGTTGAAATTCGGTAATAAATACTTTATCATGATATCCTTTGTAATGGAAATAACTTTTCTTTAAGATGAATTGTGGAATAAATGAAAAAAAAATTAAAAACACCTTTCTTTTTTTAAGGTCATGTTACGTGTTAACATGCTTCTCGAATGAGGAAATTGAAAAACTGTTTATTTTGGTTTATCATCTTAGTTGCTAGGTGATTGGCTGGCCATAGATATAGCTTACGGATAAAATACTTACTTTATAAAGAGAAAGTGTTTTCCGTGTCCGATGAAATATTTTTGTACGTCGACGTGATCGAAATATTAATTATCTTTTTCACTTCGTATCATTTTAAATATTGATGGCAATTGAAGGTGCAAGGCTAATGATCAAATCATTGCCTTTTACGGTTCATGCATGTCGTTTTTCAGTTTATTTTATTTGTCCTATGATTTTTTATTAAAAAAATAACCAGTCCTTCAAATGCAGTCTTGATCATCTGCACACCTTAAAATTTTTCTTGAAGTTGTTTGCTAATGTCCGACATAAGTCAGACATCATAAGAGAAATGCAAATTCACTAAGTGACGTCACCTGTAAAATGCAGCTGTAGTGAGGCTAAGACTGGCAGGTGTGTAAGCAATGAGGAAGAGCTGACAATCAGAAAAATGAGCTTCATTTTAGGGTTATTCTTTGTTATTCTCATCTCTAAACTCCTGATATAAAATTAATCAATCTAAGAACTCAAACGCCCTAAGCTGGCAGACTGACATTACATACTGTAAAGAGAACTTCGTAGTCGGTTTTGCTACAGTCTCTTTGTTCCCGGCGGTAAATCAGGTGTGGGAGATAAGCGGGGAGTGACTCCCCTCCACCTATCATAACTGTAACTTATACCATAGTTCTCTCTTGAACCAGCTCACGCCTTCTCCAATAGAACATTAATGAATTTGCTATATTTCGCGTAATATGACATTCTAAGTTATCTTTATCGTGACCTGTGAAACAAAAACCCCCATAGTTTACTTCTTAACGAAGGCCTTTTCTTCGGTCCCAAAGATGCCTCATTGATCGTTTGTACACGGGAATTTTCAGAAAAACAATTACAGGATTCATTACTGCTACTAAGAAAAAAACTATAAATGACATGTGTTCTAGAAGATCGTAGCATGATGTTGTGGAAAACTCTAATTTACTATAACCTAAAATTTTTACCACGCAGTAAAATACCATGGGTAGAACTGTCAAAATTGTTCCTTTTGTTGCTGCTTTCAAATACTGCCGAAGTTGTAAATTTCGTTTTGACCTGTTTGGGTTCATAACTCGTATCTGTGAATCATGTGTGATGTCTTGGGCAACCCGGGTTCGACGCCTTAGCAAGCAAAAGCTGATTGCCAACATAACTGTCATTACCGTGCAAGGTAACAGTATGAATACGGGAAGAGTTATATCGTAAAATATATCTTCGGAGACTCCTGTGAACAAAATACAGGAGAAGAAAAAGCAAGTTGCAGTTACTGAGGAGCAGATTTGTTTCGCTCTTTCGATCGTAGCGTTTTTAAGATTCAGGAAAGGATACACGAATGCTGTGTAACGTTCAAGGAACAGAACCAGAAGCAACACAGATGCATTTGTGACAACAAAATGAACCATAACATCTTGGAACAGTTCAGCTACTCCATTCACTATCTCCTGACTCTGCAGAACGCTATTGGTTCCAAGAATTGGAAGGACAAAAAGACTTGCGATAAGATGGTTTAACCCAATTGAAACGTTGAGTACATTTGTGGGTTTGTTAAAAAGTTTGAGTGGATCTCTTCTTGCGATGTAAAGCATGAACCCATTTCCAATCGACGCTGTTAGAGATGCAAGGAAGTATACGATTCCAAATATTAAATGCAGGTTATCTTCATTGATAAAGCAAACGTTTGTTTCCATCACAGAGAACGTAAAAGAGATTTCACAGCTTTATCTTGCCGTTGTAAACGACGCACCGGGCACTATCGTTAATGCGTATCAGACTGGTACTATGTTTCATTCCATTAATTATTGTTATGAACTCTTTCCATAAATGAAGCTCATCGTGGGCTCTAAGACGTAATCATTTTAATGAGCTAAAGATCTCTAGGTTGTTTCTATTGGTCGTCGGGCGACACTTATCGATTAGACAGCTGAAGTTAATTTCCTGTTTTCCATATGTTTGCCAAGGTGCACTTAGAATCGTGGCATATAACTCGACATTGCGCTGAATTTAATAACAAGAAGGAAGTCATTTGATATAATTCACTGGCTATCGTTCACAAAATATGACAATGTTTGTTTTAGAGAAAACCTTTTAAGCGAAAACGAATCGCTATTCTGGTCTTTTAAGAGTTAAACTTCAGAATCCCCCGTCGTAATCGTATATTTGCTGTAAGTTAAATGAATCTAAGTCGCCCGATCTTTGCCATCAATATTATAATCTCGTGTTTGCGTAAATTACTCATCAAACATATTTTATTCACTGCTTTTATGAACCAGCTCTACATGTACATTACCTTGAAAAACGTTAAATGAAAGGATTCTGTTTCGTCCGCAACACGCAATTCTGATCGTATTTTTGAAGTAACCGATCGCTTTTCCATTTTTTAGCCGATCTCAGAGATCAGCCCTTAATTGCTCGACGTAATTTTGAATTTCCTTTAAAAAAAAGTGACGTTCTCGTTTTCTCTAGATGGCGGCTGTGTCGGCCATCTTAAATTTTAAGCGCTGGAAAATCTCAGGAATCATACCGTGTTTCTGAAACAAATAGGTGCGATCAGTATAGTGATTGTCATTCCAACTGTAACTTACAGTCAGGTAATTAAGGTGAAGACGATGGTGAGCGAGGGGTTATTTTTTGTTAAAAAAAGCCACCAATTCTCAGGAATAGCCAATAAAGTTGTGCATGGTATTAGTTGGAAGAATTAAATTTCAAATTTTTGGAATGAAATGGTTACCTCGCCTGTCTCTGAAACGCGAATTTTCTATACTACAGGTGTTTTCCTCGACTTCATTTTATCATTTTCAAGTGGCTGAGATCATAAAATCCTCTCAGGAGCAGTAACACGAAACATAATCATTTTAAAAATAGCCTGTAGAAGAGTATTCCTTTATGAGTTTTTTTGTAATCGGCCGATAGATCAACCTTCATAGGTTGTTTAAAGCAGGGTTAAGATAACCCAGGATTAGTGTGAAATCTGATTTGAGATCTGAAAGTTTTAAAAGAAAGTCAGCTCAATTCTTTTTGTCTACAAATTGATGATGGAATACCCTTAAAAGAATATAGAAAATTATCCGAGAAAGGCTTTTGAACAAAAGGATAAAGAAGCCGGATTAGAGTTTAACCCTGGGTTAGCGCTAATCTGGGCCCTGAGCGCAGGTATTTTAACTCATTCTCTGATGTAACTTTTATTAAAACTTGTTAGACCTTACAATATAAATAATTTTTGTGCTGATGCATCACCTCAATTTCACATCGTAAGCAAAAGCAATCTATTCGATGATAAATGATCTGTTTATCAGGATGTGAGGACATCTAGGACATATTGTCAGCAGGGAGAAAATATCATACGAAAAAAAAAAAACAAAAATGACAAATTTTCCCGCGTCAGGGATTGAACCCTAACCACGGACCGCAACATGGTGCGGTCAGATGCTCTACCCACTGAGCTGCGGGGAACTTGTCAATATTAACAGCTGAATTTTAAAGTCATGTTTTAGGTTTCGTACACACTGCAAAGAAAGATCAACCTAGAAACGTATGCGCTACTTCATCGCTCTTAAAGAATCTCTTCTGCAATGGTTTGCAGTTTACTCAATTAGAAAGGAAATACCTCTGTCCACTTACATTTGCTGTTTCTATCAAGGATTCCCTTTATTCTTTATTACGTAGGTAATTTTTGTTCTGATGAATCACCTCAGTTTGTCATCTTAAGAAAAAGTAAGATATAAACTCGATGATATTTGATATGTGTATCAACATATTTGTTACATTGAAGACCTGTTATCAGCAAGGAGAAAAAGGAAAAAAAATGCATACCTATTTGTAATAGGTTCGCAATTGAACTAATTAGTTCGAAAAAGCCTCTTTCTACTTAGATTTTTTGTTTCTATCGAGGATTTACTTTCCTCTTTTATTATAGTATAGGTATTTTTTGTTCCCATGTATCACCTCAGTTTGACGTCTTGAGCAAAAGCAGGATATAAATTCGATGATATTTGGTATGTACCACCATATAAAGACACCAGACTTGTTATCAGCAAGGAGAGTAATTATGATGAGTGGAAGAAGAAAAAAAAAGGAAAATCGATAAGTTTCCCCGCGTCAGGGATTAAACCCTAACCATGGACCGCAACATGGTACGGTCAGATGCTCTACCCACTGAGCTTCGGGGAACTTTTCAACATTGATAGCTGAATTTTAGAGTCATGTTTTAGGTTTCGTACGCACTGCAAAGATCAAGCCTAGAAACGTATGCGCTGCAACATAGCTTTAAAAGAATCTCCTCTGCAATGGTTTGCAATTGACTTAATTGGTAAGAAAAACGCTCTGTCGCCTTAGATTTGCTGTCTTCTAATGAGGATTACCTTCTTTCTTCTATTAGAGAGGTAATTTTTGCTTTAATGCACCACCTCGATTTAACATCTTTTGCAAAAGCAAGAGATAAATTTGATGACAAATTATGTGTGCATCAACATATAAAGACACAGACTTGTTATCAACAAGATGAAAGATATGATGAGAAAACCAAGAAAATAAAAAAAAAGGACAAAAATGACAAGTTTCCCCGCGCCAGGGATTGAACCCTGACCACGGACCGCAACATGGTGCGGTCAGATGCTCTACCCACTGAGCTGCGGGGAACTTGTCTGCATGGAAGTCTGAATTTTAAAGTTATATTTTAGGTGTCTAACGTACTGCAAAGATCAAGCCTATAAACATATGCGCTATTCCATAGGACAAAAATAATCTCCTTTGCAATGTTTTGCAATTGACTCAATTATTAAGAATAAGGCTTTCCACTTTGATTTGCTGTTTCTATTGAGAATTCCCTTTGCTCCTTTGTTATATAGGTAACTTTTGTACCAATACCATCAATTTTCCATCTTGCAAAAAGCACGTACCATCAATTTTCCATCTTGCAAAAAGCACGTACCATCAATTTTCCATCTTGAAAAAAGCACGTAATCTATTCGGCGATAAGCGTATCAACATAATGAGACATTAAAGATTTTTGTTATTAGCAAGGAAAAAATATGATGAGAAAAACAAGAAAAAACAAAACAAAATTAACACAAAAATGACAAGTTTCCCCGCGTCAGGGTTTGAACCCTAACCACGGACCGCAACATGGTGCAGTCAGATGCTCTACCCACTGAGCTGCGGGGAACTTGTCAATATCTAAGGTGGAATATTACAGTCATGTATTGGTTGCCTTAGCACTGCAAAGATCAAGCCTTGAAACATAGGAGCTATTCCATAGGAAGAAAAGAATGTCATAATGCAATCGACTGAACTACTTAGAGACTCAGTCGACTTATACTTGCTGTTTCTATTTAGAAGTAAGTGTCTACTTTTATATTCTAACAAAGTTATGTACTAATCATAACCATTACAATTTCCTCAAATGTGATTGGTGCATCAGCTGCTTCGAACAGTGTAATAGGATAGTCCGTGGTCAGATGCTCTACCCGCTGAGCTGTGGGTAACTTTTTTCTTTGTAAAACTACAACTATCAAGCCTAGAAACATATACGCTATTCCATAGGACAAAAATAATATTTTTTGTTATAGGTTTGCAATTGACTCAATAAGAAAGAAAAAACCTCTTTCCGCTGAGATTTGCTGATTCTATCGAGGATCCCCTTTCTTCTTTTATTATACAAGTAGTTTTTGTTCCGATGCATTATCTCAGTTTGACGTCTTGAGCAAAAGCAAGATTTAAATTCAATGATATTTGGTATGTGTATCACCATATAAAGACATCAAAGAATTGTTGTTAGCTGGGAGAAAAACTACGATGAGAGAAAGAAGAAGAAAAAAAAAAAATAAAACGACAAGATTCCCCGCGTCAGGGTCTGAACCCTAACCACGGACCGCAACATGGTGCGGTCAGATGCTCTACCCACTGAGCTGCGGGGAACTTGTCACCATCATTTTAAAGTCATGTATTGGTTGCCTTTGCACTGCAAAGATCAAGCCTAGAAATGTATGTGGTATTCCATAGGACTAAAAGAATCTCCTGTTGCAATTGACTGAACTAATAAGAAGAAACTCAGTCGACTTAGATTTGCTGTTTCTATTTAGAAGTACGTGTCTACTTTTATTTTCCAACAATTTATGTGCTAATGCATTGCCTCAATTTTACGTCTTGAGCGTAAGCAAGTAATAAATTCGATGATAAATAATATGTGCATCAACATACAAAGAAATCAAAGGCCTGTTATCATCAATGAGTAAAATATGATGACAGAAACAAGGCAAAAAAAAACAGCAAGTTTTCCCGCTTCAAGGTTTAAACCCAAAACGGACTGCAACATGATACGGTCAGATGCTCTACCCACTGAGCTGCGGGAAACTTTTCTCCATGTAAAACTACAAATATCAAGCCTAGAAACATATGCGCTATTCCATAGGACAAAAATAATATCCTTTGTTATAGATTTGCAATTGACTCAATAAGTAAGAAAAACCTCTTTCCACTTAGATTTGCTGTTTCTATCAACGATTTCCTTTCCTCTTTTAATTATAATAAAGGTATTTATTGTTCCCATGCATCACCTCAGTTTGACGTCTTGAGCAAAACCAAGATATAAATTCGATGATATTTGTGTATCACCATTTAAAGACATCAAAGAATTGTTGTTAGCAGCAAGAAAAACTATGATGAAAGACAGAAGAAAAAAAAAAAGCAAAAA